TCTCAGTTGTTGTTATGCTAGCCAGGTTTTCAAAGAGAGCACTAGGCATCCATTGCTCATTTTCAGTGTACGGATCTTGATAAAACCTTAGGATTTCTGCTTTGATTTCATCTTTGTCTTCACTGATTTCTTCCCCAATTAACAACTTGTCTATGCAGTTGTTCTTTCTATGAGAATTTGCCATTTTCTGAAAGAACTTGGTGTTCCTATCTCCTTCTTTGAGCCACAGGCATCTTGATTGTTGTCTCCATGATATCTCTTCAACCTTTGCCATTTGTTGTATATCCAGCATCAGTTGCAAAGATTTCTCTTTTTCTACCCAAGTCATCATTCTATTCTCAGTTGCTTGCTCCAGTAAGGCTAGGTCTTCAAGCAACTTATTCTTCTGTGCTTCCAATTGGCCAAAGGTTTCCCTGTTCCAATCTGAAATGTCCTTCAATCTTCTCAATTTTTGCATTAAAATGAATTCTGGATTGCCCCTAATTGTATAACTTTGCCACCATCCTTTGATTTTCTCAATGAAACCATCTATTTCTAGCCACATGTTTTCAAACTTGAAATAGGAGGGGTTGGCTCCCCCCCAATCACCACATTCCAATAGCAAAGGTCTATGATCAGAGACAACTCTTGGGAGGGCTAATTGCTTGATTGCTTTGAAATTGTCATTCCATTCGGTGGATATTAAGAACCTATCAATTCTGGAAGCTTGCAAAGAGTCTTCCCCTCTGAACCAAGTGTATTGTGCCCCTTGGAGTGGTAAATCTATGATTTCCAGATCTTGTATAATATCAGTGAAAGACTTCATAGCCCTGGACCTTCTAATACAATTGTACCTCTCACTTTCAAATCTGCAGACATTGAAATCTCCCCCAATAACCCACTGCTCATCCCAAATACCTCGGATAGTTGCTAGTTCATGCCAAAGAATCTCTCTTTCAGGGTTTGTATGTGGCCATATACCCCTGCGAAACACTATCTGAAATCTTCTTGTGTGCTTTCCAACATGCAAGAAATAGTGTATGACCCTTGTTTGACTCCCTTGTTGGACTCCCCTGTTGATCCACAACCTTTTGTCCCAAAGTACCAGGATACCTCCACTTCTCCCAATTGAATTTAACTCCACCCATTCAACCCATCTACTATCCCAAACTTGTCTAATCCAATATGGGGACTATTCTTCAACTTTTGTTTCTTGCAAACTATATCAGCTTTCCATTAGTGAATTAGTCACTTTATTGTGCTTCTTTTATCTGCCTCATTGAGGCCCTGTACATTCCAACTTAAAATTTTGATCTTCGTTCGGAAAAGGCTTTAGAGAACCTATCCCTATCCCCTGCCTTCTTGCCATCAGAATTCATACCCCACTTTAGTCTTTCTAACTCCAAAGTCAGCTTCTTCTTCCCATTTTTGTTGCCTTTGATTGAGGATTTATGTAACTGGATTTGTTCTTGTCTCTTTTGTTCCATACGCAGGATCATGCCAAGAATCTCATGTTCAAATCCCGCGACATTTAGCCCAAATACCTTGCAAGCCCTCATCATGGTCCACCTCGAGGTCTCAATAACTGCTGGCGAGTTGATTGTTTGTGAACTCGATGAACCTGGATCGTACCATGGACGACAGAGAGTATCGCATGAGGAAAATTCTGCTTCTGAACTACTTACAGCTTCAATGGGGTTCATCAAAATTGGTCTGGGGATAATCATAGTCATTGGCTCAGCTTCATCGTCTGCTTCTGATTCACATACGGAGTTCGGCAGTTGCTGCTCGTTTCTATATCCTTTTGCAGCTTCTATTTCGACACAGAGAGGGTCAAAATAATTGTCGTGGAGAAAGGAGCTATTTTTGCTAGAGCATGGGTCAAGGAAAGGCCCAATGGCTTGCCACTTATGCTTTGCAACTTTAGCCTTTTTGTGGAGCTTATGCTTTGGGCCTTTTGTATAGTAAGACTGGACCAATTGTTGGCCCAAATTGCAACCAGCTTTTTTACCATGTCTAAAAGTGTCAATTGGGGCATTAGTACGAGACGGGTTACCTGATTTGACTTGGGTCTTCTTAGTCAATTTTGAATTAAAGTGGCTCAGGTTCCCGTGTTATGGACCAGTGGATTTTCCTTGGTCTCTATTGTGTGACTCGAGGAGGCAATCTCCGACAGAGCAACTGTTTTGACCTCTATCGTCTTCTTTTCTTCACCAGTTGTTGTGTCGCCTTCATTAGGGATTATTTGGGTTATCTGATCTTCCAAGATCGTGATTTTATATCTTGTTTCAGCAATCCCTAATTCCAACTCCTTTGGTGGATCTTTAACTTTGCTTTTTACATAGATCCGGGCCCAGAAAAAGTGAGATTTGTTCTTCGTGTCATCATCTATATCAATAAAACCACCACACGAGTCCCCAATTTGACGGAAAGAGTCCATTGTCCACCCATGCAGTGGAACACCAAAAGTTTTAACCCATTTCTGCTCTGCTTTATTCTTCGCCGGAGAAGACCCAGATTCCGGCGACCACCATTCCAAGGATAAATGCCTTCCGTTCCCGAAACCAAGTCACCCGCTTTAACTCTAAGAGCTTCTTGCCTAGATGGAAGCTCGAATAGAAATTTGTTGTGGGCTACAGGAGTGACTCTGAGACTTGTTGTCACTTGCCATCTAGAGAGGAACTATTTTTGGATGACTTCTGAATTCGGGCTGGAGCTGAAGAGGTCATTGAAACATCCGATCAGGCACTTTGAGAGATAACTATCACTAGTTACATTGCATGAGACTCTAGCATCTTTCCCTTCTTTCTAAATGGACCATTGTGAAATTTCTGCAGCATTCAAGAAAGATTTACTTTGCAGATCTGTAAATTTCCTGAATTTGTAGTTGGTGGCTTCCAACAAGTAATGTAAAATCTTCCCAGCTATATCTTCCCATCCCCAGTTGTAGTTGGACTCTGGCATGATGATAGCTTTTTTCCTTTCCCCGACCCATGTTTCGATTCTGAGATATCTGCCATAGTTGTTGTAGTTATAAACCCTGTAGATAAAGGCTTGAATCTTCCTCCCCCATCTTCTGTATAACTTCCCCTGACCTCGTGATGCTTGTTGCATTTGCTCGCATACCCATCTCAAATTTTCTTAGTCGATTTTGATTTGGCTTGTGAATCTCCGGCCACGTTCTATCCAAAGGAACCATCTGTCTGGACCCTCACTTTTCTTCAACTATTTCAAATGACTTATCCCCTTAAATGAAAAAGGTTTTCCCTCCCATAATAAAAAGAAGAGATACCGGAGAAAGGAGTCGCCGGAGAGAGAGAGTCAGAAAGAGAAAAATAAGGATGGCACATTTCCCAAGTCAGAGCACATTAATACTTTATTTTTACTTTTTAGCCAAATGAAGCAGGACTCGATGCAATCTGATATGTTGATGTTAGCATTATTTGACAACTTTGTTGTTTCAATCTTCCTGTTAGTCCATTTAATTCATCTTGGGCCAAAATTATAAAAAATTAAAACAAAATAAAATAAAAGGTAAAAAATATTTAAAAAGTGCAAAAATAAAATAAGAAGTACAAAAAAGAGAAAGTTGTTTTTGAGGCTCGAAGCGTGACCTTGAGCTAGTATACAACCAGAGTCCAGATTAACCAATGGAGCCCAAAGATTGAATGGGAGGTTATCATCCGCATTGTTTTCTCTGTATCCTTCCTTTCCCCATATTTAATACCAAGAAGATTAACATACCTTTTCACAGAAGTATATCAATATCTTCATAGCACCCGACAAATATTCAAACAAAGGCTTACCCATTAGAAACTCTAAGTATTGGTAGAAACAAAGGACTCTTTAGAACAACAACTTAATCCCAAAAGAGGTGGGTCAGTTATAAGGGTCAGTTATGTGGTCCATATCCAGCTCTACTTCATCTGGGACTATTTCATTCTAATACCCAAATTTTAAGACAAGGTCCAAAACTAAAAATTCTCTATATCGCATTTAACCTTATATTGACATATAAATCTTTAACCAAACTGAAAAACCTCCCAGCAAAGACCTGACCTAATCGAAGACAGAACAATGTACGTACATACATGCATAGAAAACGTCAAGACTTTTACCAATTACAATACTATCTTGTAGAAATAGATTGAGTTCAAGATAACCAAAACCCCAAAATGCCAATTTCTTTTTAAACAGACAGACAACAGAGGTGCTACAAAAACCTACAATAGAAACTGAACTTCTACACTAAGAAAGACGAAAGAATCATAGCTAATTAATTGTCCCCGAGATAAAAATAAAAAATAAAAAAAAGGTACACATATACATGCATAGAAAACAATCAAGAATTCTACAGACTAGATGCTTTCTTCAAAAAATACATTAGTTTCAAAAAAAAAAAAAAACCCTAAAAGCCTATTTCTCTCTAAATAGGCAACCAAAAGAGAGTTACAAGTATTCAATCAAGAACCCAGAGATTTTGAACTCCTAGAATAAGAAAAGCAAGGATCGTTTGACCAAATAATGAATCAAACATGTCAAGACTTTTACAGATTCCGATATTTTCTTCAGGAAATATATTAAGTTAGAGATACCCAAAACCCCTACATGTATATTTCTTTCTAAAGCACACTAAGAAAGACTACAAATATTTAATAAAGCACCAAATTTGTAGACTAAGAAAGCAACAACCGTCCTTTAACCGAATTCAAGAAAATTATTAAGTTAAAGAATCTAATAAAACCTATAATGCCTATTTATTTCAAAACAGACGTCGAACAGAGATACCACAAATATTTGATCAAGGGCCTAAAATTTTCGAAACATATATACCAAGAAAGAAGAGGCAATAATGTAACCCAGTAAAAATGGAAACATGAAACGAGAAAAAGATTGCATAGATATCAGTAATGATTCAAAAACAGTAAAGCCGTTCAGAAAGTGCAATACCCATTAAATACCTGAGGCACTATAACGCGAATAAGTAAAAGGTGTAGAAAGATAGAAAAAGGATGGCGTACCGAGAACTGCTTCCAAGTAAGGAAATGCCATTGCGAACTCAGTGGTTGGTTAGAGACTGCAAACAGAGAGAGAGAGAGAGAGAGAGGGTATAGTAATGCTGAGAAGTTTTCGTTTGGTGATTTATAGAGAACGGCTTAGTGGGTCGGGTCATAGTATGGAGTGTATGGGTCACCGACATGGTTCTATGGGTCGGATATAACCAGATGATTTACACCTGGGGTGAAGTGCACAAATAGCCATTTCTAGTGCCCTATTTAAAGTTGGACGAAATATAAGATTTTAATGTTTTGCCGCCTTAAATCAACCTCATAATCAAGATTTTAATGTTTAGTCTGAAAATAATCGCAGGTCTAAACTTTCCAAATTCAGACTGTTGAGTTCAGCCAACAAAGTTCAAATTCACACATGGGTCTAGGGGTGTACAAAAAAAATGAATAAACCGTATCAAATTGATAATACAAGTCAAATCGGAAAAAAAAATGACTATGATTCAATTTGATTTGATTTGGTTTTAAAAAACACGACCATATTAATTTGATTGTAACTAAAAAAAGTCAAATCGAAACCAAAATAACCCGACATTACATGTAAATCACTGCTCTTTAAAAGAGCGGACACAATACCAAACCCTCTGTGAAAAGATTGGAAGATCTCGCAAAAAATTAAAATATTTATTGTATAATTCATAAATATTTCTTAAATTTTTTCATAGTTTTTATCTTTTAACATGTTATTTCAAGTTTGGACTTAGAATTTTTGAATGGTCCAATATATTTTATATACCATAAATATTAGCAATTCAAACATAACCTAAACCTAAACCAAATCGATACTAATGCTAACAAAAAGTTTTAAATTCAATACTAGGAATGGCAACAATGTTAGATATTTTTATTTAAGCTTTGTATTAGTTTAGACAGTAAAAATACATAATTTAAATGTTTTTTTTAGTGTTTAGTCATGTAATTAGTACTAATACTTATTAGTCGACTTATATTAGCATGACTTAGTACTTTTAGATTATGTTCATTTTTATTATAGCTTAGCAATATTTATTTTATACAATTTTATTATCTTTATTGCTGAATATTTTAGTATAATGCCACCACTTATCTCATATTATTTTGTGTTATTTGCTTGAGAACACCTTATATTGTGATATTCTACTAGGATTAAAGAAATATTTAGAGCACAAGTTATATATTTTGTGCTATGAAGACTTTATAAGAAAAATATTTGAAAAAACTAGATTGAAAAACCCGACTTTGTTGATTTTGTTTAGGTAGATTTAAAAACTCGACACAGTTGCTATGAGTTGAATTAAGAAATCTGAACCAACCAATCGATATACACCACTACCTGGAATATAAAGTTAGTTTTGGTAGAGCCTAACTTCAGATTCGAAGTTTTGAAATTTAAACTTTGGCCTTTGAAACATCATAGCTTCAGCTATGAAGTTAAATTGGCAGAGTGCAACTTTAGGATACGGAGTAAATGTATGGGTCAAAATCTGCTTTCATTAAGATTTGACACGAAGCGATATCATAGAAAGCGATATGGTCGAGATCAATTAGTAGATAACGGGGCTCGTAGCCGAGTAGTCAATAACAGTCGAGGTCGAGTGCTAACAACTAATTTTTGTAATAGAATATTCAGGTTGAATATTCTTGGTGTCTGTACTTTTAGGGTTGACTGGGGAATGTCCCATATAAATAGAAAAAGAGATAGGGGAGAGATATATGTAGTATTCTCTCATAAGAACATTCTTTGAAAAACAGACTTTCTCTCTAGATTAAAGACAATCACTACCTTTCTAAAGATATTAGATTGTCTACTATTCCACACTTTTTCCATTAGATCCAGGAAGGGTCCCAACATTCTAGTATTTGTGTAGCATTCATCATTGTCAGAAAGAAGAATCATCCACCTCATTCAATATTGGGTGAATCATTCTTCTTATTTACTTTAATGCTATTTATCATTATTTATTGCTTGATATTCCCCCATCATTAATGATCTTGAAACATTGAATATACATCACATTTAATCTTATCCCAACACTGCTCTTGCGTGGTTGGTGTTAACCGATTATAGATCTGAAATTATTATTATTGACTAGGTTTAGCCCGTCGTCATACAATATTAATTAGTTTAATCAAAAGTCTACATTTGTTTGTCAAACAATTTGGCGCCGTCTGTGGGGATACCTAGTTAAAATTTAGTTTCTTCTAGATCTATAACTGACACAGTTCACAAAAAAAAAAAAAAATCCTACTTCCTTGTACACTCAGATCTGACATGGCAGGTAAGGGAGAAGAAAGGATGAGGGCAGTGGCCGATCTCACTACCAATCTCTTAAACACCATCAATGAGGTCTCCGAAACAGAAGGCGAAGGCGTAACGCCTAACACATCTCCCCGACGAAGTGGATAACCCCTCCCTCATGGCAGTATCACAGCATCCTGCGGTAAAGGAGCTTCCACGTCCATAGCGGAAGAGGCGCCACCAGCGGTGAAGAAGCTACTCGAAGCTTGGCTGACAAATACGCTGACCGGTATCCTCAACAAGCCCACTATGGAGGCAGTTAGAGAAAATGCAAGGACTTGCATTGCACCAGCAACGGTCAAGCATCACGAC